CCTCCCCCACCCGCTCCCCACAGACATACTGTGTGGTATTCCAGGGGAATTGGGTTGGAGATGCTGAGAGAGTCAAGAGATTATAGGGATATTTACACGAAGGACTGGGGAAGAGGATTTTGTTTGAACCGGATGAGCAGAAGGGGGCAAACTTAGCTACATTAGGTCGATATTCTCTTAAGGTCCCTTCAAGTTCCACATTCCTTCTCTCCTCATCCAACATCCTCCAGAGCACCATCTCTCCCCCGAGCCCATTCCTATGCTTCCTGCTGCCCAATCTGCTCCTGTAAGTCACTAGGAGTTCAGCATTGGACAGTTGTAAAGGCAGGAGAATGCTGGAAGGAAATGTTTGACAAAATCTTAAAATTAACATTTCCAAGGTTTTTTTCTTAATGCAGACCAGACCGCAGGTAAGGGTGTAGAATAGTGACCCTTGTGTGACTAAGCACATAGTCTGTTCTTGTAACATGTAACAAAAGTGAGAGGAAAAGTTGTTTTGGGAATAAACCAATGTTCATGGTTTGACTTTCTGTATTTTTTCATAGATATTCTGATTTTAAGGACAGAAGGGATTATTGTAATCATTTAGTCTGACCATTTATATAAGACAAGTCACAGAATTTCAGCCAGTCACTCCTGTACAGAGGCAAATAATTTATATTTACCTAAAGCATCTTTCCTGAAGGCTTGATTTCAAGACTTCAAGAGACAAAGAATCCACCACTTCCCCACAAAAAAAATGGAAAAATTCACCCGTTCCAACAACTGTTGCTTCTTTTATCCATGATTTTCCTACGATTCCTAAAAATTTCCACGACTAAACTGTAGCTCAGGCATTCTGTTCAACAGAATGAAAAATTAAATTCTGTACTGCAGATCTCACCCAAAATGAGCGCTAAGCATATGATACAGAAGGAGTAATTCACTCTGCCTCCCACTCATATAGACAGAGATGGGAATAGAGTATTTCAACAAACTTCAGGATGACGTTTCTAAGGAGGACCAAGTCTAGGAAACTATGGGTTAGGTAACCAAAGTTTGCTGAATCATCTGTTTTGGCAAATTCATCCCACAACATTCAAAGCCAGGCTTTTCAGTGCAGCAATTACCTTGGGGAGGCCAATCTCAGACATGGCATTCAACCACTGAATAACATTATCTGTATGCCGAAAATGAAGCCCAGTTGCCTGAAAGAAAGTGGGAGGGTGGAAAAAGTACATGAATCATCATAGCCACAGTGAGTACTAGGGAACTTTGCTAAGACTTGTATCTGATAAGTGTTACTTACATCATCTAAACACTTCCAAAGATCTGAGGTCTTAGGTATGATGATGAAAGCTTTCTACAGCCAGCTATATTTAAGGCTTACAAAAAGCCAGCTCTCTCAGACTTTCACATGCACAGAAACTCAGACAAAACTAAAAGATCTTCCTTCATCCACTATCTACAGTTCAGGAAGAGTTAAATTTTTTCACTTTAAAACTGCCCCAATCTATTACTCACTCATTCACTGACAGCTCCTATACAACAGAGGTGAGGAACCTTTTTTCTATTGGGGCCATTGATCCATGGGAGAGGGAAGTGGGGGAGAGCAATCAGGGGCCATACACAGCCCCACAAGGGGTGGGAGCAGAGGCTCCAGGCTTTCCCTAGGCTCTAAGATAGGACCAGAAAGGGGGTCAAGTTGTGGGACTGGGGTCAGGGCTGGAGACTGGCAAGCACGTTCCAGCAGGGAGTGCAGGCACTGGGATAGGGCCGGGATAGGACAAGGGGTTGGGGTGCAGGCTCCACAAGGGAGTTTGGATGAGGAAAGGACTCAGGGTTGGGATATGGGTGGGGAGCAGGTTTGGGAGGGAGTTAAGAGTGCAGAAGGAGATTCTGATCTGGGGGAGGAGGTAGAAGTGCAGTACAGCTTCAGTGTACAGGCTCCAGCCATGCAATGCTTACACCTCAGGCTGCTTCCAGTTAGCATCACAGGGGGGCGAAGGCAGGCTCCCTGCCTGCCCTAGCTACAGGCTACTCTCGGAAACGACCACCACGGCCCTTAGACGGGAAGAGCCAGGAAGCTCTGCACATTTTGCAGAGCTGAATTTCTGGCTAATAAAAACTAGGGGGTGGGGGCAACACCCAGAGCTTCTCTGATCACCCCTTTGCCTCAGGGCTGCAGGGAAATGGCAGCAAGCCAGCACTCATAGCTCTAGCCCCACAGGTAGGCACTGAAACTTTGGGTTTCTAGCCTGCAGTAGAGACTATCCACAGGCTGGGTGAACTGAAACAGCCGGCCAGATCCAGAGCACGGGCCACTGGGTCCCTACCCCTCTTTACACCTATACATTCAGAAATCTCTTTCTTTAGACCTCTCTGGCCATCCTTGTTCCCAGAACAGAAAGAGCTCACCTTATATCTGGTTTGTTCCCGGTCATAGATTTTCTTCAGAGACACCACCTTAGGAGAGAAAAAGTTTCCCAGTTTGGCTAGAAAGACTCCATTCCTCAGCCCCTCCTCCAGCTCTGTTGTGGGAGGTAGATCCTCATTAAGGCAAGCCTCCATCCATCTGAAAATGTGAAAAGAACCAGAGTGGGTCATGTGAGAACTTTTCTGATTTCTTCCATTTCTGGCCAAGTTCAGCACTGATGCTACCACATCTTTTCCCATTGTATGTGTTCTGTATTAGGCAATGGTGTGCACAGTGTTATAATACACTTTATACCATAAGATGCTGCTACCTGGCCTCAGATTCGAAGTCTTGCCCTTTCAGCTTTTAGGCTACCCACACTAAAGTTACTTCAGATGACAAAGTGAACAGAAATACTGAACCCAAATGTCTTTGAAAGTTTCATAAACATATTTTTTTAAACAAACATCTTCTTACCCATTAATTTCTTTTCTTTTCAGTCACTGTGTACTTGACACTTGCCTAGATATATTAGCCAGCAATTACCTCTAGTTTGAATCACCCTCATGAGAAAAGGCTCAACTGTTACATCTCTCTTTGCGGAGCTCCACTATATTCAATATCACTTAATCCCACAGCAGACATTGGTGGCTCCATCACATTGAGTCAAGTCCTGTTGGTGTAGTCTCATAGCTGATGCCTCAGAATTTTGGGGTCAGGTTTGCTTCTCTTGCCTATATTTTCTCCAATCCTGTTTTGTATTTCAGACTAACTTAAAGTGAAGACCAGAATATTAGCTGCTACTGTAATCACATTTCCTTACTAGAGATTTCTGCATCCTTAGGCAGTATCACAGCTTTCAATAAGCTTATCTCTTTTCTTCCTATCTAAGTTAATGTCTGTTACTGTAGTACTTGAAAGCAACAAAGATTACAGGGGAGCAAATAATCTGAATGGCTCGTGCGCCCACTGAGAAAATAAGTCTGGTTTTATCCCATCAGGAAAATTGTCATGGAAAACCTAATGTATACACATGGGATTTACGGTTTCTTCTGAAAGAAGTAAAATCTTTGAACATTCTAATATTTGTGGAAGGGATTTCCACATATTCCCCTCCATCTTCTAAAAGAGCAAATGCCTTTCTCTGCAGCATGTGTCTCTATCAACTTAGCTCCTTTAGCATTCCTGAGGGAAATATCTACCTTGGTACGATCATGCTGAAACAGAGGTGACTTTCAAGATATTTAGGGCATAGAAGATCAAGATCCAGATCTTAAAAATCAGATCTGGTATTGCAATAAAGAACACAGGCCATACCTATCAAATACAGCATTATCATAGAATCATAGAATAATAGGACTGGAAGGGACCTCGAGAGGTCATCGAGTCCAGCCCCCCGCCCTCAAGGCAGGATCAAGCTCCGTCTACACCATCCCTGACAGATGTCTATCTAACCTGTTCTTAAATATCTCCAGAGAGGGAGATTCCACCACCTCCCTTGGCAATTTATTCCAATATTTGACCACCCTGACAGTTAGGAATTTTTTCCTAATGTCCAATCTAAACCTCCCCTGCTGCACTTTAAGCCCATTACTCCATGTCCTGTCCTCAGAAACCAAGAGGAACAAATTTTCACCTTCCTCCTTGTGACACCCTTTTAGATATTTGAAAACCACTATCATGTCCCCCCTTAATCTTCTTTTTTCCAAACTAAACAAGCCCAGTTCATGAAGCCTGGCTTCATAGGCTTCTCTAGACCTTTAATCATTCTTGTCACTCTTCTCTGTACCCTTTCCAATTTCTCCACATCTTTCTTGAAATGTGGCGCCCAGAACTGGACACAGTACTCCAGCTGAGGCCTAACTAGTGCAGAATAGAGCGGCAGAATGACTTCACGAGTTTTGCTTACAACACACCTGTTGATACAACCTAAAATCATATTTGCTTTTTTTGCAACAGCATCACACTGTTGACTCATATTCAACTTGTGGTCCACTATGACCCCTAGATCCCTTTCCGCCATGCTCCTTCCTAGACAGTCGCTTCCCATCTTGTATGTATGGAACTGATTGTTCCTTCCTAAGTGGAGCACTTTGCATTTCTCTCTATTAAACCTCATCCTGTTTACCTCCGACCATTTCTCTAACTTGCTAAGGTCATTTTGAATTATGTCCCTATCCTCCAAAGAAGTCGCAACCCCACCCAGTTTGGTATCATCTGCAAACTTAATAAGAGTACTCTCTATCCCAATATCTACATCATTGATGAAGATATTGAACAGTACGGGTCCCAAAACAGACCCTTGAGGAACTCCACTTGTTATCCCTTTCCAGCAGGATTTAGAACCGTTAACAACAACTCTCTGACTACGGTTATCCAGCCAATTATGCACCCACCTTATCGTGGCCCTATCTAAGTTATATTTGCATTGTACCTAGGAAAGCAGTGACTCTGAAAAGGATTTAGGGGTCAGTGGACTGGGTTCAGAGCATGAATTCCCAATGATGTTTTGTAAAAAAGGGCTTAATGCAATCCTTGATTGCATTTTACAGAAAATAATATGGATGTTACTTTTATCTCCATATAATCTATTGGTGAGATTGATATTAGAATACTGCCTTCTGTTAGTGCTGGTCCACGCTTATAGAAAGGACTTTGAAAAACCTGGAGAGTGTGCAGAAAAGAATCCAAAAAATTATTCAAGGGCCGGAGAAAATACCGTACAGAGAAAAACTTAAAGTGCTCAATCTGTTTCTCTCATTTAAAAGACTGAGCAATGATCATTACAATATGTGCAACATTTCACAAATGTTCAGGCTGCCATATGGCCCAGAAGTTGTAGACATGCTCTTGCTGTGATTTTCTGGCTGTTATATTGCAGAGGTGAGGCTGGATATGGTGTCAAATCTGTCCCTGGGTAGATATGTTCTCAAGTGGAGCTGATGAAGTCTATTAAATGGGTGAGAGAGAGAGTAGAGGTTTTCTGTACTGAGGCAGAGACCCAATGAGTGGAACAGAGATATAACCCTGCTGGTTGTTGTCCGAACTTCAAAAAATAACCAAATTCAGGAGCCACCTGTCCAGGTTAAAAAAATAAATATATTCTCCTCTCATGAAGATGAGTGGGGCAGGCAGGGGCACCACTCCAGAGCAACTGGAGCAGCCCCTGTCTGCAGCCCCACCTCTCCACCCCCCACTGAAGATAGATGCTGCTCCAGCTTGGCCTTGCCTGCAATGTGCCCGAGTGCGCCATAGGGCTGGAGCAGTCCCCTGCCAGTGGCAGATGGGGAGCTGCTCCAACCCCCCATCAGTTAATCAGAACCATTAAGCATCATCATTAAGAGTGATTCTTACCAGTTAGCCTTTCACATCCCTAACTGCCAAAACAGAGAACCATTCAAATATGAAATATAATAGAAGAATTGTACAACCTTGAAAACTGGAATAACAGAAATTGAATTACGTTTATTAGTACAAAGAATTAGGCCATGCATTTAAGGATTAATAACAATTTTTTGCTATAAACTGGTAATTTATCAACTAGAAGCAATTAAGCTCAAAGACCTCAGTGTACTGGTCTGTCACAGAACAATTATGAACTGCCAATATGGCACAAACAAAATAAGCTAATGCAATCCTAGGGTGAATTAGCTGTGGTATTCCCAGTAGACACAGGAAAATGTTATGACCATTATACAAGACTCTTCTAAGGATACCCTGTGAAATTCTGGTCTACATTGTTTAAGAAAAAATAATTCAAATAGGAACAAGTGCAGGAAGAGCTCCTATAGTGATCAGAAGAATGGGGAATCTGCCTTTCAAGAAAAAAATTAAGGAACTTGGCTTCCTGAGTCTAAAAGAACAAAGGCCAAGAAGAGATATTATTGCACTCTTTAAATACATCAGAGGGATCAGAAAGAGGCAGAGGAGTTATTTCCATTAAGGGGTGATGATGCCAGAAGAACAAAGGGATATAAACTAACATTCAGTCAGTCTTGAATTAAGATGGTTTCTAACCTTTGGAGGAGTGCAATTCTAAAACAGCCTTCTAAAGGGTGTAGTTGAGGCAAAAAAAAAAATCAGACTGAGCTCATTAACTTTACAAAGTGGATGGTAAAATGTGGTTGCTCACTATGGTCTATGACTCACTCAAAACTCAAAATCTTGGCATTGGAAAAAGTCCAGGAAAGGGCAACAAAAATGATTAGGGTTATGGAACAGTTGCATTTTGAGGAGAGATTTAAAAGATTGAGACTTTTCAACTGAGAAAAAAGGAGATTAAGCAGGGATATGAGAGAGGTCTATAAAATCATGAGTGGTGTGGAGAAATAAATAAGGGAAACTTATTTACTTGTTCCATAACACACGAACTAGGGGTCCCCAAATGAAATTAATAGGTATCAGGTTTAAAACAAACAAAAAATATTTCTTCACATGACAGACCACCTGTGTAACTCCCTGCCAGGACTTTGTTATGGTTCAAAAAAGCACTAGATAAATTCATGGAAGTTGCATCCATCAATGGCTATTAGCCAGGATGGGTAGGAATGGTGTCAGTCTCCTCTGTTTGTCTGAAGGTGGGTATGGGTGACAGGGGATGGATCATTTCAGGATTCCCTGTTCTGTTCATTCCTTCTGGGGTACCTGCAATTGGCCACTTTTGGAAAACAGGATACTGGGCTAGATGGACCTTTGGTTTAATCCAGTCTGGCCATTCTAACACTCTTAGTTAATATACCTAATTCCTAGCTTCAAGGCACTAGACGGGAAGAACTAAGTTATTACTAAGAATTCTTTCCAAGGTGTCTGGCTGCTGGGCTTTGCCCACATGATCAACATATTTGGGGTTAGGAAGGAATTTTCCCTCAGATCATATTAGCAGAAACCCTGTGGTAGGAGGGGGGGTTTCACCTTTCCCCCCCACCATGGGACACAAATCACTTCTTGGTATGAAGCAGAGTAAATGGTAGATTCTCTGTAACTTCAAGTCTTTAAATCAAGAGATGAGGACCTCAATGATCCAGCCAAAGGTTATATGTCTATATCTAGGTAGGTGAGGTTCTGTGGCCTGCAATGTACAGGATGTCAGACTGGATAATCATGAAGGTCACTTCTGGCCTTAAAGTCCACGACTTTAATTAGAGCTGCGTTTAATGCTG